TTGTCCAGATAATTTCTTTCTATTTTTAGTAGAGACGGGGTCTTGCTCTTGCTCAGGCTAGTCTCGAACTCCTGCGCTCAAACGATCCGCCCGCCTCGGCCTCCCAGAGTGTTAGGATTACAGGCGTGAGCCACCGCGCCCAGCCAAAGCTATATTTCTTTAACACACTTAACCTGCCCACCCCAAACACTACAACCTTTTGGTCTCATAGTATTTATTGTATATCATAATCTCTTATAGCATAACCAAAATACTGAATTTTAGACTTTAACAAAATTAAAACTCAATTTAGGTATTTACAAAGAGAAAATTATTTTTGCTGAAGGCAATTAACAGTTTAAATGACATCAATCAAGTAGGGTATCTTTTGAAGTAGGAAAAAGGAATGATCTAACTCACCTGTAACATACCAACAATTTCTACCTTATTGAAAAAGATAAAGGAGTGAAGTGTTGACAACATGTTTTCTTCAAAGACTGAAGGGGTAGGTAGAACCATATCTTGTATATACTGAACTCTGTATGTTTGATGAATTTTTTGTTTCAGCTCAGGATCTGATATGGGAATCACTTCTTTAAACTTGGCTGTTTTTGTTAGAAATTCCCTGTGTTTTCGTGGTTGAGATAAAGCAGGATCATATTCTAAACATCCAATGACGTCCATTATACATTCCTCAGAGAACATAACTTCAAAAAGAGCAGTTCGATTCAAGAGGAAGATGCCTTTGATAATTTCATACAAGTGGTGCAGTCCTTCAATATTTTCCAAATCCTCACACACATGAAAAAGCTCTAAGAGTTTTTTAATATAACCCTCATTTTCCAGTGCCAGTGCAAGTTTTTCACGACGAAGAGGGGAAGGTAAAGATGATGCCACAAGTTCTGCAATTTCCTCCAGGCGACTTAATTCACAAGATGGCAATTCTAAACCTGGAGATGACATATCATCAAAGCGTTCCTCTTCAGATTCATCCACAAGGTCCTGAGTGATGTCCACTGAAGGGTCCTTCCCTTGAACCTATGAAAAATAATTTGTAATAGCTGACAAAATGTAAACCAGCAAACCTAAATGATATTCTAAAATGAATACAAGATATTATAAGAAAACTATAATGATAATTTCCAAGTGTAAGAATCTTTATTCAAACTTGACAAAAATTGTCTACTTTTTAAAGCTGTATTTCTCCAAATAACGTAACGCTTCCAATTTTAAGGAAGTTAATTCAAAGTTCAAAGATGGAATGAGCTTCCTCATAATGTACAAGGTTTGCTGGCAAAAGCAACTTTCTAGGACAGGCTAAAATGACACTGTGATGAAAGAGTCCCCTGCAGACCTACAACACAGATGCAGTCTTAGGACTGTGCTACAGGACAGCCACCACCAAGCTCTTCAATATTTAACTTTAAGAAAGGTTCAAATAAATATCAAATATCCTAATGCTGTGATCATAGAAAATATATATCATTATAAGCAACAATGAAAATATTTAATGTCAATTGATTCTAGAGACCAACGGGCAAAGAGCATGAACAGACCAGCTTTGGACCAATTTGCTATAAATGCTGGATGGTAGCCAAAAAATATGATTTAGAAAAGCTAAGTAGACTACAAGTGCACCTACACAAAAATGAAGCCATATATAAAGTGCAACCTACATGTAGTAGAGCTATGCCCTAGGAAAATTTTCTGAAAGTTAAGAAACCAAACCACAGAAAGCTTTTCCTTTCTATACACCCAAACCTATAGTCTTCATGATCCCCTATACGCCCTAAAATCTGTCATAAAGCCCAACTCTCCGTCACTATAAGGGCTCTAACTATAAAAGTAAACATTTAAACAAATAAAAAAACAAAAGGTCAGAATAGATTCTGAAATGAAAAAAGTGTTACTATCTTGGTCCTAGAATTCAGGACATTGAAAAATTAGGCCTTATATGAAATAGCCAAGAAGCTTAAACTGCTTATCATAATTAAGATACTGTTGCTGGATACTAAAAGGGAAGATTGGCCTGGAATATTTGTCTTGAAATATGCTGCAAGGTGTATTGACACAGCACTACTAAAAGGAGGCAAGGTACATTCACAGCTGGCATGGTCTCAAATTGGCTCTAGATTTGTTAATTATGTAAGTTCTCCTTATAGCTTTAAGTCCCTAATATCCAAGCTATGACTTTACCTATAGAAAAAATGGTAAAATTTTGATGAGTAAATCAAAAGAAAAGGGATGAAAGCCTTATAATAATGAGAATGCCCTCTTCTTAAGTTCAGACATAATAAATGCTATCAAAGAGGGTACCAGAAAAATAGAGGAGACTTTTAGCTCTTCCTAGATCAGAAAAAGGTAAATAGATTCAAGAAACAGAGACATATAAGATCTCAGAGATCAAAATGTAATGACTTCCCTGGAATGGAATCAAGAAATATAGACAGAACCACAAAAAGAGTGATTGAGAAATGACCCCTCAAATATTAATATAAACTATATTAAAAGTTGAAGGCAAATACCAGGAAAGAACGACACAAAACAGCCAGTGATTGCTACGTAAGAGAAAGCGTACAAGCACTATTACCCGTGCCTCAAGGGAAGATGACTGAAAAATTTATGGCATTAAAGACCAAGGAAAAGTAAAGATCAGACAATATTAGAGGAGAGATGGTGTAACAGTTACAGAATGAGTCCAGGTTTGAGTTAAACATTGGCCTAAGAGAAGACTATATCCAGGGTGGGACCATTCAACTCAGAAAGATGAAGACCAAGATTTGTCTGAATAATGGATGCCTTTGGCATAGCCTGAATGTATTAATGTCATCTCTCTTTCTGTGGAAGAATTCTACAAGATAAAGACCTAGAAAAATATACTAAAAAAAAACTGTGTAATCCTAGCTCTCTGGGAGGCCGAGGCGGGCGGATCGTTTGAGCTCAGGACTTTGAGACCAGCCTGAGCAAGAGCGAGACCCCGTCTCTACTAAAAATAGAAAGAAATTAATCGGACAACTAAAAATATATAGAAAAAAATTAGCCGGGCATGGTGGCGTGTGCCTGTAGTCCCAGCTGCTCNGGAGGCTGAGGCAGGAGGATCACTTGAGCCCAGGAGTTTGAGGTTGCTGTGAGCTATGATGACGCCACAGCACTCTAGCCCGGGCAAGACAGTGAGACTCTGTCTCAAAAAAAAAAAAACAAAAGAAAAAACTGTAGGACAGAAAGCAAAGAAAAAGTAAAAAGAAAGATGGCATTCAGACATAAACGTTAAGTTTTTCATGTTTTAAGAGAAGGAAAGGAACAGGTTAACAGGCAGGTTCGTTTTATGAAAAACACAGTTCAGTAGAATATATGGCAGAAATAAATTCTGTAAGTTAAGGAAGACTGTTACCTCAAGGACATTGTAGCTTCTATTAAGGCTTTAACGTGCATCATCAAAAGCAGAGGCTGACAAACTATAGCCAAATTTGGCGCCCCCATCTGTCTTTGTTAATAAGTTTTACTAGAAGACAGCCACACCCATTCATTTATGTGTTGTCTATGGCTACTTTCAAACTAGACAGCAGAGATGAATAGCTCTCAGACTGTATGGCCCGAAAAACCTTAAATGTTTACTATCTCACCCTTTACAGAAAGTTTGACCTAGAGAGCTTGTTAAAACACAATTACTAGACCCTACTCAGAGTTTCTGATCCAGTAGGTCTAGGGTGGGGGTGGGGATGTCTTGGAATTTGCACTTCTATCAATTCCGACATCATGCTCAGGCTGCTGGTTTGAGGACCACATTTTAAGAACCAATGAATTAAGAAATCAGCAGAAGATTATTCTTCAGCTAAAATAAATGTGGAGATGGAGAAATCTTCCCTAGAAAACACTGGCCTAAACTGAGTCCACAATAAGCTCCAATAGCTTTAGCCACTAGAGCACACAAAAAAATGCACATTTACAAGACTGTGGAGATTATGTCACTAGAGTAAGGTACCAGAGTCACTACAGAAACTCCAGAATGAAGAAGGAATTTTTAAGCTTAGAGGCAAGGTGACGTTGGATAGTCAAGAGCCATATTGCTTCAGACGAGTGCCAAGCAAAGGTTTTGTTTCAAGAGCCAACAGGAGGATACTGAACAAAAAGAGTGATGTGGATTTAGGAAGATCAGTCAAGATGAAACCAATAAACCAGGCAAGAAATAATGGTAGCTTAGAAAACTATGATAGTGGTGAAGACGAAAATAAGTGAATGGATCTAGGATTTATTATTGAGGGACTGAATGGATATATAAAGGATGAGGGAAGGATAAACATGGTCCAAAGTTCCTGGTTTCAGCAACCAGAGGGCATTTACTGAAATGAGGGAAATGGGAGAATGAATACATCTAGGTGAGTAGATTGTTAGGTTGTGGACTTATTAAGTTTGAGATGCTAGCAAACACTCAAAGAGGAGTTCTCAAGAAGGCAATTGTTCTTAGAAAAGGTAGCATAAGAAAAACTAAATAAAAAGAAGGTGAATATAAAAAAAAAAAGAAAAAAGAAAACAGCTTGGATATAGAACTTTTGACTTTGGCAAAGGTCTAGGCTGGATAGTTTGGTGTCAATAAATTATACCTTCCTTTAAATCAAGCTTTTCACAGATAGCAATGTATTTAAAAGATCAATTTAAAATTTATTTAAATTCTTGAGCATTAGCTGAAAAGCATGGCAAAAACCACAATACTTAAAAAGAGCATGTCAATCTTCTATTTTTAAAATTACCTGACATATTTTCTCCCAAATTTCATCACATCCAGCTTTTTCTTGAAAGCTAAGAGCCAAGTCATAATTTTCTGCTTCAGACCACACAATCAGAGTATCCTTTAGAGACAAAAAAGGAATCTGAATGATTAACATACATTTTCACAAACTCCTTCAAAGTAGAAGTCAAATGAACAAAGCAAGAGGAATTGAGAACAGCTCTCACTTTTACTTTTTGCAATATGTACCGATATTCCCAGTGTCCCCCATTTTAACCAATGCCTTTTTACACTATACTTTGCCCAATCTATAAAATGAAAGCAATGTTTTCCTTAAGGGTAAGTTTAACCAATGCATGAAAAGCACGACAAAGTGAGTACACAATTCTTATGTACTAAAAGGTAACAAATGAAACATTATGCCAATCCTATCCTTGAACACTGAGTTACATTTTATGCTCTCATTAAAACACCAAAAGAGGAAGTCTAAGCACATTAATAACTAAGGCATGTTTCAAGGATAGGATCAATATAACACCTTCTTTCTTCCCTCTATTGTCAACAGGTGTTTTTTACCTGCGGCTTCTGAGGTCCATGAAGCCCTTGAAATTACTGGCTAACTTGGTAGTAAGTGAGCATTTATCTGGACAGAGGCTTTTTTTTTTTAACTTTCACTAAAGTACTATGTTTCAAGAAGCAGCAAACTCCTAACACCTATCCTTTTGCTTCTATTCAGGCAAACTTTATTTTTTTAAATGACAGTAAGTTTAACAAACAGTTCGACAGTTTTTATTAAGATGTAATTTCAGCAAGACACTCTGCATACAATAGTGAGACCATCTTATATTCTTCATAGTACAAAGAGTCTACTGTACAATATGCATGGTATAATAAAAATATTTGTTAGGGTCCAGGATACCCTTTCAAACTTTCTGGCTGTGAATAAACATTAATATATACACTGTTTCATAGCAATCAACCATTTCAAAAAAGGGCCCACTTAGTGAAAGAGGTCTATGAATCATCTCATACAAGAAATGTTGAATGGTATTAGGGAGAGTTATGTTTAACAGCTATGTGCAAAATCCGAAGGGCTGTCAGTCAGTATTTTGTTCAAGTTGGTCCAAAGAGAATTAGTTAGGAGAGCATAAGTTAGATGGATTTCATCATAATACAAAGAAAAAATAATCCAATTTGACTAAAAAGTAACCAAAAGGAGCCATGCAAAGGCTGGCTGAGCATCCACTAGGATGATACAGGTTCCTGTATTAAGAATGAAACATGACTAGATTATCTTTAAAGTACCTTAAAGGATCTATCATTCTATTGTGGCAGTTTCTAATCCTTTTCACTAGCAAGGACACTTCTTGATGTAAACAAATGGATTCCATATTAAAAATCTCCCTAAGCTGGGCACAATTTTGTGGGCCTTTAGTACTAGCTACTCAGGAGGCTGAGGCAGGAGGATGGCTTGAGGCCAGGAGTTTGAGGCTGTTAATGTGTTGTGACTATACCTGTAAATAGCCACTGGAGCCTAGCCTGGGCAACATAGCAAGACCCTGCCTCTAAAAATGAAAAAAAAAACGTCTACTAAACTATTAACTCTGTCCAGTCATTTGTGTAACTGTCAGTGATGAGACCAGCAGTCTCTCGTTGAACTAAAGTGATACCAACAAGAAATAAATAACTGATAATCTGATTTGGCTATGCAACACTACTATAGGATAAATCTATAATTTTTATACAGAATTTTTGAAAATAGCTCAAAGTCCCTGTTTTTGCTATCTTAAAGGACTTCCAGAGATCACAGATTCCAGGCAGGCAACATGAACAGTGACTGAGTACCTATTCAAGCTCAAAATAATTTACACATCAACATTCTAAGATCAACACAACACAAATTAGTCAGGTTTCATTTTTAGTGTATCTTGTATTTCACCAAAGCAGAACAACTGGTAGAAGAAGAATGTACAGTTAATCTGGAATTCTGGCAGTCTAAATACTTCACAAGGTTATTTGTTCAGAAGATATTTATTGAGTATTTATGTACAAGGCTCCATGTGAGACAAAATTAGTTATGTTACCTTCCCTCAGAAATAGTACGGAATAAAAATACCACGATTTAAGAGGTAAAGAGGCCAAAGTATAAATTCTAATACCACTGTCTACTTGGTGGGTGATGCTTAGAAAGTTAAGTAACTGAGTCTCAGTTTCATTACCTTTACAATGGGACTGATACACACTGTTATGAAAATTAGTGATAATCTAAGTACCATCTGTTCGTGATGGGAATAAGGTTGAAGGAAAATAATCATCTTCTGGGGAGGAAGGAGGGAGTCAATTTGCCCAAATTAGATGGCTCCTAAAATTCTGATAAATATTTACAAATATCGGCTCAATAAGGGCCACGGGAATAAGTCTAAAGTCAGTATTACATTAGTAACAAAATAAATTTAACACAACTATAAGCAATTGCTCTGCTACGATGTATATCCAGATCATTTGGATGCTGATGTTTAAATCAGGGTGTAGCCAGACATATACTCTTAATTACCCATTTGACAAATTTAGCAAGTTTGAAAAATTTTAGAAATTGCTCTTTTGTCTTTCTTGAACAGCCTAATTTTCACCAAATCATCTTGTTTATCATTCAACAACCTATAGCCTGAGACATATGAATTTGTTTACTCTCAAAACAGGTTCAACCTTCCTTTTTTCTCAGGATGTGCTTTTACTCTTTCGCTGACAAAAATCTCAAAACATGAATTTAATGTATTTAAGTATGGAAGATCAAAGCCAAATATTCTAGTCTCCAGCTATTTCAATCAAACCTAAAAATTTTCTTAAGAACACCACATACAACAAAGTGCTTAACAGACAATTACAATATCAAGAAAAAAAAAATTTTTGAGATAGGGTCTCAGTGTCACCCTAGGCTGGAGTGCAGTGGTAACATTATAGCTCACTGCAGCTTCAAACTCCTGGGCTCAAAGCATTCTTCCTTCCTCAGCCCCCCCAAGTAGCTAGGACTAGGGGCACGTGCTACCATGCCTGGCTAATTTTTAAAATTTATTTTGTAGAGACGGGGTCTCACTATATTGCCCAGGCTGGTCTCTGGAACTCCTGGCCTCAAGTGATCCTCCTGCTTTGGCCTCTCAAAGTGCTGGGATTACAGGCATGACCCACCACACCCGGCTAAAAATATTTTATGTTGTATGAATTTTTGGTGGATAAATAAATCATCACTAATTAAATTTAAGAGTTAATACCAGCTTCCCTGTCTATTATCTGTGTGCTGTCAAGCAAGTCATGATCTTCAGGCATCATCTAATGGACAAAATAAAACCAATACTAACGTCCTCCTAGTAGTATTTTAATGGTCAATGATGAGGCAAAGTACTTTATTTATGAACTGGCTGGTAATATTCTTTCTTCTAAATTAATTATCTTGTATTTGCATCTTCAGGGCAATGAGAGAACTGATACTGATTTCACTGGCTGTACAGAACACTCAGTATATCGTGTGTGTACTGAATAAATACCATTTGACGACAGTGCTAGTCAACACTAATTATCACATCAATGGTCACTTCTTTTCTGTAGGTAAAAATAAGGAAACTTTAGGGCTCAGTTGCTATAATATCTGGCACATAAACTCAGCTTAACTTGAGGTAATTTTTTTTTAAAAAATTAAAATTATTGTGTTAAACACTATAGAAATTGGCAGAAATCCTATTTTAGAATTAGAAGGGCAAATTTGTAATCTGCTTTTCATTATAGGGAGTCAGATGTCAATTTCCATTTAATCATCAAACGAAAGGATAAAACACATCTCCAATATTTTACCTGTTGTTTCTGGTATGCAGTGTTAGGATTTATTTTGGACTCTAAAAGTAGAGAACCTAGGAAACAGAAAAAGAAGACATCCCATTATGTTACTGCAAAACAACAAAATTATATTCCCTTACATACACACACATTTCCTTTTTTAACATCTGATGCACATACGACTTCAGTTAAGAAAAAATTATTTTTAAAGCAATTTAAGTTTAAATACAATAACTTATAACCTAAGAAATATTATTTTATACATGCTTACTTTTAATAAGACATAACAATCCAAAGAGTCAAGACTGGACAGTAATAGCAACCTAACAATTTATGGGCAGCACAAAGTAGTAAAACAGCACAGCGTGAAGCCAGATGATCTGGGTTTAAATCTTTGATATACTGTCTGACTTAGAGAAATAGTTTGAAATATGCAAATAAGGATTATAATAGAATCTGAGC